ATCTCGTCCATATTATTTTAAGCAGCGTCAACTGGTTTGTATATATTTTTTTTACGTATCTGGTTATATTTATGCGCATTCCCACGGTCGAGGAGAATCGGGCAATTAATTTTTAATAACTTTTTAATCACTGTCATAATATTCGAATTGGCGCCAATACTGTTATAAACGCGCTTAATAAGTCCGACATATTTTTAAATATGCTTAATCGCGTGCAGTTGAATATCGATGTCCGGTAAATGATCTAATTAACAAGTTAATCTGTCTCTTTGATAAACCAGTTTCGAACGACTATCTAGTAATTGTTTATAATGTATATAATCACGTATCGCGTAAACACACTTCCGCGTCCAGTNACGCCGACATAATAGCTTGGAAATTTTAGATTTTAAAGAAAATTTCGAAGATGGCGGTAATATAAATTCCTAAAATTAAGATATGTCGTCCAAGAATTTTCGTACTTAATTCTTAGTTAAATAAGCACAATGCTATATAGTTAGTTTGCTGCCTTTCAACACCCAAGAAATATAGTGCAAATGTTATTTCAGTTTTTTAAAATGGCACCAATGTAGTACCACCGGCATACAACAGATACTTTTTGCATGGCACCAGCGTGGTGCCACCGGACGGCACAGTATCAACTGCATTTAAGTAGGTCTTTATAGCTAGGAGATTAGCTAATTACCGATAATTATATTTTTATAATCTCGTCCATATTATTTTAAGCAGCGTCAACTGGTTTGTATATATTTTTTTTACGTATCTGGTTATATTTATGCGCATTCCCACGGTCGAGGAGAATCGGGCAATTAATTTTTAATAACTTTTTAATCACTGTCATAATATTCGAATTGGCGCCAATACTGTTATAAACGCGCTTAATAAGTCCGACATATTTTTAAATATGCTTAATCGCGTGCAGTTGAATATCGATGTCCGGTAAATGATCTAATTAACAAGTTAATCTGTCTCTTTGATAAACCAGTTTCGAACGACTATCTAGTAATTGTTTATAATGTATATAATCACGTATCGCGTAAACACACTTCCGCGTCCAGTACGTTATATACGTATATATTTTCCGGCGACCGTGTTAATCCGAGCAAATGTATTTAATATGTATTTGATGCAAGCTGTTTTTCGAAGCCAGGGATCTGCATCGACGATCACAATAGACGTCCGTCAGGCTCCCGTCATCCAAACGTTACGGCTCCGGAGCGATCGAGGTAGAATGGACAGCCATTCTGACCGCCAATGTACCATAATCCTAGATACAATCTTTCTTTGAGACAGTGGACCATAATACGTGCATGAAATCTACGCTCCGCGTACAGGAAGCGCACATTGTTCTGCCTGAATCAGTGCGCATAATGGGCCACTGATAATTTCTATCGTTTAAATGTGATTATCATGCTGCGGATTTGTATGCAACGTCGACATTTTCTGAGATCTAACAGAATTCTGATTATTCGACGAACAAAAAATTGATAAAAATGTAACAACACTTTTAACACCGTTTTTAAGGTTCCATTGTTGCAAACTTCGACGAACGCTATTTATTACGAATACTTAAATCAAAAATGAATGCTTTGCCTGACTAAATGCGTTAATAGAATCTTTGGGGGGCCACTAAAATTGTTATATCACGTTCCAAAATAATATAACAAAGTCTAGATTTAAAAAATTGTTAAAAGTGTAACTGTCGTGTCAACGCGAGACTCAATTTCATATGCACAAAACGCACTTTGTCATGTAAAATGGAAATACTATAAGTGAAAGAAGTTATTTTAGATTTACAGTTATATTGGCTTCGAGCGTAAAGGGTTAAACGCGTCGAATCAATTCAAATTTTCATGATATCGTAAGAGAAACAAGTTTCTGCGAATCTGCGCTTGTTTCTAAATAACTGATCGCTACATCCAACATCGCAAAGGATACTCGTTAGCATAATTTAGCAGTCCAATGAACAAACGATACTCTGATTTTAAAATGCCACATGAGACATTCTTTCGCATAAGTATAGTAGTATACTATTAGTATACTATTAGTAGTATAGTAGTATACTATTAGTATACTATTAGTAGTATAGTAGTATACTATACAGTAGTATACTATTAGTAGTATAGTAGTATACTATACAGTAGTATACTATTTATATTTATATTATTATTATATTATATTTATATTATAGGTAAGTATAGTATTTACGAAAGATACCTTGATTTTTTAAATGTCGCAACGAAACTTTAGCATAATTTCATAATTCGACGAATAGTTCGAATACGTCTGCGAGAGTACATCGGATTCCGAAAGAGAAAAGATTATCGCATCTTTTGAATATCGAAAGTTTTGTGCCGGCGCGGTGTTCAAGCTTGAGTAAACTCGACAAAGTGCCCATTAGGATCGAGGCTGTCCTAACACCTGGTTCAAAAGCATTGTAAACGCACCGAGCGGACCGATTCGGCGACGTGAATTCCCGAAACGATGCGAAACGCTGGTGCGGCGATTTATGCGATGACCGGACATCAAACGTAGAAGTCATGGTTTTAATGAATGTCATCGAAATTCCCTTCGAGCGTGTTTACATTCGCTTTTTTTTCCCCGCGGCCGTATCGATGCAATCACCGTAAAAACGCAATTCCCTTTTTAAAAGCCGCGGCGGTCCATCGATGCATCGCCGCGCGGAATGGTAAAAACCTGGCAATTCTATACGCGGACGCGAGTGGTCAAAAAATATTTCGCCACTTAACTTCGGTAATCACAGTTTCACAGGCATAGAGAACCATAGAAAACAAAAACGGCCCGCGACTTTACGTTCGCGCACCATTTTCATGCCGTTACATGCGTTAATCTCGACAGCGCGAACTACTCGACCGCGTCCGTCCTTTCTCGCCGGGAAGGCAAATATTTTCGCACGGTGGTGTGAAATCGTTGCAACGCGAAGGCATAGTTCGAGAACATTGTCGAAATCGTTGAAATATCACACATACCACTGGCCACGTGCGGCAGTAGCATGACGGCGGAGCGACGAAATCAGTGATTCGAATTTTTACCCTTCCTCGATGAATATGGGGGTCGTTCTGACCCATCCCATGGAGCTACGGACGGAAGAAGCGCTGCCAGAATCCTCGGAGAGAAAACCAGAATGCACTGTCTCGGTCCAAGTATGGAATTTTCTGAATTCGGCAAATTGACTAAGAATATTGATGGTGATAGCTAGACTGCGGATCTTTCTGCGAATTTTCGGTTTCGTATGTCGTTGTAAAAAAATACCAGAGTGAAAGAAAAATTTTCTTCGTCGACTAAAAGATTACGCAACGTTTAAAAAAAGATATACGAAAATGTTTTGGACTTCCTTTCTTTGCATTTTAAGAGATGCTAGATTCAAAGAAAACTTTTTCTCGTCGAGTAAAAACCATCGTGAAAATAAAATAAAAATGCTTGCTAGACCTCGTTTATTCATACGTTTCGTTGCATTTTAAAAAAGACTAGAAATACGAAAATGTTTCCTTCATTAACTGAAAGATTACTCGTCGTTTAAAAGAAACAATAAACGTTCTGTTGTACATCGTTTATTTATACGTTCCTTCGAATCTTAAAAAAATTCTAGAATTGAAGAAAATCAGTGTGAAAATGAAATGAAAACGCTGTTAGACTTCGTCAATGTATACGTTTTATAAAGAATTATGAATTTCTTCCTAGAAATAGTAACCAAGTGTTGCTAAATGTACAAAAAAATCCTCGAAAGGTTCTGAATTCATCGAACTTTTATCGAAGACATTGATAATAAGTATTAGCAAATGATAGCTACGAGGAAGTGGCATTAGAATCGTCATAGAAGAAAAGCTCCACTTTAATTCAACAATGGGAAGATCTCAATTTATTAAACTTTCTAAGGATATTGATAATAAAAACAATGTAATGCTTTCACATGGAAAGGAGACGAGATTAACAATAGCATTGAGATTCGGCTAAATATATATAATGAGGAAGACGAAGAAGCTGGTTCTAGAAACGCGAACAGAACTAGGTAAGTTCAAGGAGGAATCTGTTTTCCGTTTAAACAGAAATATTCCTTATCCCCACCCATCGCCACAAAGTATATCAATAAATTATGTATCAAGAGGATTGCATAAAACTTTCAACTGATACCAAGGACAACGTTCTCAACCCTCGAACAACCAACCAAATCTATAAATAATAAGTCCGAACAATGAAGATTCAGAGCAATTTGTGATATGTTGCACCAAACATAATTGTTAACGGAATTGCAGTGCCTAATACACGGTAACGCATGTAGGAGATGAAATCGTTTCTTCCCATACATAAATATATTTTACAAATTATCAACGATATCGTTGGCACGTAAACTTTTCATTTTGCATACGTCGAACGCGTATCCTAAAATCGCACCCTGTTTACCAGGGAGATTCTGAGATTTGTCTACGGACACCGTAAAAATCGTTCTGAGAAACGATCAAAGAAGCTTCGCGTTTGCGATTAAAATTGCAATAAAAGAAAGAAAAGTCAGCATACAGAAAATCGATCCGTTGCGAGATCCTAAGGTGCCATTAAAGGTCCGCGTCGGAGTCACATACTTCCATCGTAAACTGCCCACCAGAAAGATGCCGAACGTGACACCGATTCGAACGATATACGATCAACTTCTCGGAACAGTCCTCCATCCGCGAGTCCGCCGCCAGTAACTCTAGGAAACGCAGAGGTGCCCGCTTAGTGGTCGCTTGTCTTGCCCCATTAGTATAGCCGCATCCCGTCCTCTCGCCATTTAGACCGGCGCTTAGCCTCCGAGGCTAAGCTTTCTGATAAATCACTTTCACTCGGTATTTATCACTTGGTCACCTAGCCGAAAACAAACCGTTACGATTACCTGACCAAAACGATCCCCGGACCACTAAACGGCCACCATTGCGGATTTTTGCCGCCAAATCGGCGCCGCACGTTCACCGATCCGATCGCAATTTAAGGAATTTCCCACTCACCGGAACCGGTGGAGTTGTCGGTCCAGGCACTCCTGGTAAACACCGTAATTAGGAAAACCGTGGTCAGGAACCGCGACCGGTTCTCGGTGGTCCCCAGAACACACTTCACACGTTCACTGATCATCACGGTACCAAATCGACGGCAGGATACGCGACCGGCATCCCGACTGAGGGTTTCGCCGAGCGCGAACTCCGTGAGCATGTTTCCCTTTCCCCCACCCTTCCCATTCCCGCCACACGCGTGCGCACCGGGGCTCATGGGTTTCTAACTCTTCAACTTACCCCTGACACAACCCCTCTGCACACCTCGCCGCCTCTCGTGCCGCGACGCTCTCTTAATCCCACTCACTTATCTCTTATCAATAGGTGACGATTAATTATCGCTGCGCCGGGCCGCGTTTCAAGCAAACGCTCTGCTTGCTTGTTAACCGGTCGAAGCACCTGTAGAACGCTCTCTCTCTCTGTGCCATCTTTCGTCGGCGAGTCGCTCGCTGGTCCGGGTGGCTTCGAGGGGCGCAGGGTGCGACACTCTTCGGGGATGCAGTCCCGATGATGCATCGCGCTGCAAACAGAGAACTAAGTCCGGGAACAAATGTTCGTTTGAGCGTTCGTTGATGTTCTAGCTTCTGGGAATCTGATAGGGTATTTCGAATCCTTGTTGCATGCCATCAGGGTGGTTCACGTTTTCGACGACAAGCTTACTTCAGAGTCGCGTTAACTCGATTACATACTTCAAATGTTCCGGTTAATTCAATCGCTAATTATTTTAATCACTGGTATGATTCAANGTAATTTATAAATAATTGCGACGTAATTGAATTGCAATATACTTGAATTACAATGTAATTATTATTATAACTGTATAATTATATTATAATTATATAATTATAATGTATAATTATAATTGAATAATGTCTATTATAATTGTATAATTATAATGTAATTATTATGTAATTTATAAATAATTGCGACGTAATTGAATTGCAATATACTTGAATTACAATGTAATTATTATTATAACTGTATAATTATATTATAATTATATAATTATAATGTATAATTATAATTGAATAATGTCTATTATAATTGTATAATTATAATGTAATTATTATGTAATTAATAAATAATTGCGACGTAATTGAATTGCAATATACTTGAATTACAATGTAATTGAAATAGAATGTAATTGAATTGTGATGTAATTGAATTGCAATATACTTGAATTACAATGTAATTGAAATAGAATGTAATTGAATTGTGATGTAATTGAATTGCAATATACCTGAATTACAATGTAATTGAAATAGAATGTAATTGAATTGCAATGTAATTGAATTGCAATATACTTGAATTAGAATGTAATTGAATTGCAATATACTTGAATTAGAATGTAATTGAATTGCAATATACTTGAATTACAATGTAATTGAATTGCAATATACTTGAATTACAATGTAATTGAAATAGAATGTAATTGAATTGTGATGTAATTGAATTGCAATATACCTGAATTACAATGTAATTGAAATAGAATGTAATTGAATTGCAATGTAATTGAATTGCAATATACTTGAATTACAATGCAATTGAATTGCAATATACTTGAATTACAATGTAATCGAAATAGAATGTAATTGAATTGCAATGTAATTGAATTGCACTATACTTGAATTACAATGTAATTGAAATAGAATGTAATTGAAATACAATATAATTGAAAGATACAATTCTTCAAATTACAGCCTAGAACTTTCAAGAAGCGAGATAGATTTTTATGTTTATCTTTCGTATACTCATAATTTTGTCCCACCCGTGTATTTTCTGCTCTTTATCGTCATGCATAGTACGCGATGATATCTTGTGTTCATATTTTCTGTCTGCCCTTGTTTCATGTTCATACCAGAGAACATTTATAATCCGGATATCCAAAGTTGGGCATCATTTAAATGATTATTTAGATACAAAATTATTAATTATTTAACAGCATTAATTTTATTTGTTTTTAATACTCAAAACAACGCCGTTGTATTGCATGGCAATGTCGCAATAGTAACGAGTTTGTTATGAAAAGTGCCTCTCGTGGAATTTAGAACAAAAAGATTTCAACGAAACTAGAACGCAACGTTATATTATTTTAACTAAATTGTATTCTAGCGGAGGGACAACATGTTTTTAATATTCCGTAGTTAGTATGCTAGCTAAGGTTCTTGAA